GGGTTGAAGCTTCGGGAGTGCTATGATGATTAGAGAATCCGTTCATCTGCACCGCTGGTGGTTCTCCAGCGGACCCGGAACCAACAAAAACACCCAGAGTTTTTGAACCATTGGTTCATCTGTAGGATATTGAAGAGACTTGTAAGATCTAAGTTGTAAGAGATAAGTTGCATAAAGGAAGTCGTCCTCCCCTCTTCCCCCCTCCCCCATTGTCCAATCTTATATTCAGCCAGGTCACCTCCTGTTATCGTTCCATCATACAGTCTGCCATAATAGGTTATCTGGTCCGTCCTCTCGCCGCACACACGAATCCAAGCACTGCTCATGTTACGAGAACCTATTAGGACATACCATACCACGGACCACGGGGAAGAAATAAATGAAGAAATGAAGTTCCCCTTCCCCCTCGCCCTCAGCGCACTTGCCGCACTCGCGCCCCTTGCATGGGCCACCCCCGCAATTGCCGCGCACTCAAAAGGGTTAGAACAACCACCCTACCGCACGGGACTCTCCGATCTGGACCCGCAGGTGCAATTCTGCGCGAGCTATTTCCTCTGCAAGACTGATGAAGAGTGTTCGAAGCTGGAAGATTGCAGGGTAAAAGCCCATTATGACCCGACCAGAATCTTTTGTGGGTACCTTTTCTATTACTATCAATGTGTTGTACGCGGATCTCCAGATCCTTATGCCAGCACGAGGTTTGATAAGGCAGCTGCTGGGCTGTCTGCTCCTACTTCTACTGCTGTTGCTGCTGCTTCTGCTCATAATTTTGCTCCTACTGCTGCTTCTCAAATGTGAATAATGATGATGGTGATGGTGACGATGATGATTTGAATCTGTTTGATGTTTCTTCTTTTTCTCTATATCCTTGAAGACATCAACTGTGTATGGCACTTGTTTTAGCTCTTGCTATTTTTGTTAGAAGTTTTCATATTATCACAAAGTTTCAATCTGTCTACTCGGGGCCTCTCAATGTGTTTTGAGTTGATGCAGGCATACCTAAATTGGCTCACTATTCACATTTGGCCCCCATGCCTGAGAAAGAAAGTGCTTGCTCTGCTTGGTTTGCAGGAATATGATTATATATCCGCTTGAGATGGTATAATATAGATAGATCTCTTTGAGACATCTTGAGGAGCTACAAGGTAGGCAGGCAGGCAGACAAAAAAAAAGCGAGTAAATCTTTCAATCTTCAACCCCCTTTTACAGGCAGAGGTCTCAAAGAGAATTGGCAGACAGAGGGCAGAGTGGCAGAGATCTCTAACTATTTTCATAAACTATGTATGAGTGTTTCGTCACCGAGACAAGAGAACTTTAACCTCGCTCATCATTAGCGCCATCATCATCATCATCATCGTCATCATCATCACCTTCATCTCTCAGGACAGATACGCTACAGCGTAGTATGGGCTAAAAGTGTAATAGCAGACAGAACATTGGAAGCAAACCTTGGGAGTTAGGTTACGGTGGGGTGGGGGTGGAGGGAGAGGAGCTAAGCACCGAATTCAGCCGCTCACCTGCCGCTTGGGGTCCGCCGCCCAACAACGTTTGACAGGCGGAAATATTTTTCTAGCTCTATCTTGTCACACCTAGGAGAGAAACAATGGAAATTCATTAGAGCTCCGAAGGAAGAAGGGGGGAATATATTGGGTGCTAAATATATAGCCAACACACACAGGTATGGTTATAATAGTTGAGATGAGTATATATAGACAGTAATCTGCGACATTGCAGAGTATATAAAAAAACAAAGAAAAAGAGAGAAATTGATCTATGTTGAGATGCAGGTGAGTGTTCAAAAATACAATACAAAGCTGTAAAGAACTGCTTTTTTTAGTTAAAATCTGTTTATTAATTAGTGTCTGAGATTGATCAGAACTTCATATATAGAGAGTGAAATTGAAAATATTAATCTTCTTTTTTTTCTTGAAAGAAGTGTTTCTCTAATTCAAACTTTCTTGAGTTTATCTAACAGCTCTGCTTCAGCTATCTACATGTCTCTTTATTTCATATCAGATGATATATATATATATATATATATAACTATCTAGGTATTCACATATCTGCCTTCTCTTTATCATTCATGCCCATTTCTGAGCTTATATACCAACTTATTCAAAGAGAAGTGTTGAGTTCAATCATGATTCTATGTTGCTGCTCTTCTTTCTTCTTCAACTCTTCACTGCGATAAGTGCATTTACTCAAAAAAGGCAGTGATATCAATGTCAGTGAGAAGTACTGATAAAGCACTTTTATCTTCAATCTTCTAGTATCAATGTTATTCAGTGAAGTCTGAACTTCATATATAGAATGAAGTAATATAGTAATATAGATTATTTCATCAGAAATGTAAGTGTGACTAACTACAAATTGTAAATAACATTTTATTGCTGTTTCATAAAAATTTGTTGCTTATTTCCACAATTCATAGGTGCATGTATAGAATGAGTTGCTTCTTGTTCCAATGTGAGCATCTTCTTAAGATTTTATTTCCACCACTTCCTGATAGTGATAATGGATACAGTGATGACCTTTTCTATACACAGGTCAACTGGCAGAAAAGGGAAAAAAAAAAAGCTTCTTGACTGAACTACTATGTACCACATATGATCTGAGCTCAGGGGCTATTGGTATCGATATCTGTTTGCTGGCAACCTGGCAATTTCAAAACTTTCTACTGGGTCAACACATGATATTAATGAACAGCAAGGGTGAATACGACTCATAATAAATAAGCCTTTCTTTCTCTCCTGTGAGAATGGTCCGGCATTTATTTGCATGCCCTGATATGGATGGAAGGGAATGACCTCGGGAATACTGTTTCACTCACCTCATACATTTGACTCACATTTGATCCGTCAACTTCAAGTTTCGTTCTCAGCAATACCGCGCACGCCCCCAAACAGGGCAGTTTCATATCTCGGATCAAAAGGTATGTATGTAAGAAGGAGAAGAGGAGGAAGAATCAGACAGGGGTCATTTGAAGGGGCCGTCACCACCTAGATTTCAAGAGGCAAGAGCACAGAAATGAGGTAAATCCCGCTAATATACGACGTGTACATCCGGGGATGTAATGGCCAAGATGGGATGGAATGGGATGGGCTGGGTAGCAAAGAGAAGACCGGAACTCCATCATTTAGGTCTGGATGTAGAACACCAGAATGAAATCCGATGAAAAGAAGAAGATTTCTGGTGATCATTTTTCGGAATCACTCTCCATGATCATGTTGCTAGTACCGCGGCGGAAAGCAGTTGATAATGATAATAACCAATATAGGAGATCAGTCTTAAATAATACGGGAAGGTGGTCCTCTTCCCATCACGCCTGGGATATTCTCAGTGTGCGGATGTCAGCCATTATTGGGATAGAAGGTTGATATCCTAAGTACTCTGGACCATGGCCTGGGCTGCGAGGCGGGGAGAAATCGCTGCCAGTCAAGTGTTTAATAAGTGGCATGCGGAGGGACGGTAAGGGAGTCAAAATTAAGGTAAAACTCAATTCGCCTTATTTTATAATATAAGGCAGTCCGTCTCGTCTGACAGAGGAATCATCGAATCGAAAGTTTCCTTGTCTGATCATGCCCTTTCCCCTGCCAGTCTCCACAGTGAGGTCATCATCTCATTCTTCCAGGTTGTTTACGCGATGTTGCTGGTTCTGTCTGTTTACTGCGGACATTGGCGCGTTTCAAAGGCCGACAAAAAAGAGAAACTTCGGCTTGAAGCTGGGTTTTCTTGAAAACTTAGGGACCTCAAGGAACCACACTGCAGGAAGAATCATTCAAAACCCATGAGAATGGGATCCTAATGTGTCTCGGCAAACACCAAACTGTGAGCTGAAGCACCAGATAGCAAAAGGCATCATCATCCTTGCTATGTAGCAAAAACCAGGTTTTCCAACTGAGCCCCGCTATGGACTGTTTCTCCCAAGGTACAAGCTCCAACTTGCCGCTATCTCGGAGCCCTTGTCCTGTACATGTTTCTCAGCAAGATATGGGGCAGGGAATGAATGGCCCTTTTCCCGCCTGGATAAACGACCTAGAGGTATACAAATTGCAGGGCCAAGCCAGAGACGAATGACAATTCATGCTAATTCTGACTCAGCGGCGGGAAATTGCTGCTTTGATTTATTATTTATTGAATCGTTCGCGGTAGAAGCCATGACGACTGCGTAACGCTGGTAGATAGCGAGCAGCCCGTTGGTATTTTTGGCCGTTATCCTTGCGCAAGTGAGGCGTTAGCCGATTTGGGCACCTTGACCAGAAGACGTAGTTACAGCCAATTGCATGGGATGACTTTCGAGCGCAATTCTTCTGTCCTGGAAAATCCTAGAAGGAACCGATCTCTTAGGGGGGAGCGGGCGAATTGTGTCTAGGTTTGTTGTTCGGTGGTAAATTATAAGAAGTCCTCCCTTAATACGCCCAGCCATAGTAATTTTGCATGGACAAACAAGTTTTTTTTTTCTTTTTTTTGGCCTCATCCCGCCTTCGAAGAACATTCCATATTATATTAGAAGAAGGAAGCGGAGCTATTAGTTCTGCCCTTTTCTTTTTCTGCACGCATTAACTGCTAGGACTGATCTTGACTCTTCATTTATATTATTATTAGTAGTATTATTTTTCCCGCTCTGTTAGAGGAGTAATTTTATCCCGTCCATTCCTCCGGTGCGGCTGCTCTTTATTTCAGTGTCTGTCTGGAGCCTGAGGTTGATCTTGCCCCTCGTTTTTCTGCCGTCGCCAAACACGTTTTCGCATTTTCGCTTCTAATTCTGCGCATCTCTCTCTTTATCTTGCCGCAAACCCCTCCCTCCCTCCTCTTCTATCGCTTTCTTCCCGGCACAACACTTCCTTTCCTACGAGAAATTAAACGGCTTGAATTCGACGAGTCCAGTCTTCTGACATCAGTCAACGAAATTTGATGCCCGCTGAGTTCATCGCCCTTAATCTCTGAGCCCATCTCTCCGGTTCACACGCGAAATCCGATAAATACCCAGTCTGCTCGATTTTCCCCCTCCTAACGATTACGACGAAAACGATATCGACTTCCAAATCTTGATTATCTCTTCTTTACGTCCATTTTTTCTTCCCCTCTTAATCCGGTTGAATTTTTTTCGAGTTGGGCGTAGTGATGGACCAGTTTAAAATGGCGCAGTTTGTTCGTGCTCAGATCTTTGGCACCACATTCGAGATCACAAACAGGTACGCAGGGAACTGACCATGTTGCTCGCCTGGTTGTCATTATCAGTTATGTTGGTCTGATTGGGGGGGGGGGATAAAAAATGCTAACAGCGACGATGATTGATAGATACACTGATCTCCAACCTGTGGGAATGGGCGCCTTTGGACTTGTCTGGTACGCTGAACCCCTGACCCCCCGCATCGTTTAGTGAGAGTTGAATACGGGAAAGATATCACGCTCTACGGAAGCCCTTCCGGCATAAGAATAGAAATAATATAGGACATCCGCTGATATTCGCCGTATAGCTCTGCAAAGGATCAATTGACGGGACAGGCTGTTGCCGTGAAGAAGATCATGAAACCTTTCAGTACCCCCGTGCTTGCGAAGCGAACGTATAGGGAACTGAAGCTGCTCAAGCATTTGAGGCATGAGAACGTTGGTGCTACTACGGTCTATGATTTAAAGTGTTTCGACGCTAACTGCTTTGAAGATTATCAGTTTAAGCGATATTTTCATCTCGCCGCTGGAGGATATGTACGGAAGATTACTCCTCTGTCGGAATTCCATATTGGACAATTGCTGATGAGCCAACTTGAACATAACAGATATTTCGTCACGGAGCTACTTGGAACAGATTTACATAGATTACTTACGTCAAGACCACTTGAAAAGCAGTTCATTCAATACTTTCTGTATCAAATCCTTGTAAGTTCTCTCACCGCCCTCGCTATGCATGGCCACCGCCGCCTGTGAGGTAGACGCCTGTTGGATATCATCCCACTGACGTTCATACAGCGAGGATTGAAATATGTTCACTCCGCAGGAGTCGTCCATCGAGATCTCAAGCCAAGTAACATCCTTATCAACGAGAATTGCGACCTCAAGATTTGCGACTTTGGTCTTGCGCGTATCCAAGACCCACAGATGACCGGTTACGTGTCGACACGATATTACCGTGCTCCTGAAATTATGCTCACATGGCAAAAGTATGATGTTGAGGTAGATGTATGGAGCGCAGGATGCATCTTTGCAGAAATGTTGGAAGGCAAGCCTCTATTTCCCGGCAAGGACCACGTGAACCAGTTCTCTATTATCACAGAGCTGCTAGGCACCCCCCCAGATGATGTGATCGAAACCATCTGCAGTGTCAATGTACGCAGAGAACTACCGACCCCACTATCTTTGTGTCTGCTTCAAAGTATCTAACTGCATTGTAGACATTGCAATTCGTCCAATCCCTGCCGAAGCGCGAGCGACAGCCGCTAAGCAACAAGTTCCAGAACGCAGACCCCCTTGGTACGAACGCAGACTATCTTTCCAAACACCAGATGCCACATTTAGATATTGGAAGTACGGGATACTGATTGACAACCACAACAATAGCCATCGACCTCCTCGAGCGAATGTTAGTTTTTGACCCAAAGAAGCGTATTACAGCTGGCGAGTCTCTTGCGCACGACTACCTCTCACCATACCACGACCCAACCGACGAGCCTGTAGCAGATGAGAAATTCGATTGGTCATTTAATGACGCCGATCTCCCTGTCGACACATGGAAGATTATGATGTACGTCCTTTTATTTAATTGATCCGCCAGTCCATCATCTAAATTACTCTGACGAATAACCTACATCCGAAAGCCATGATTTCCTGCAGCAAGCGAATGCTGTCGACGAACCTAACTAACCATCCGTGATATTTAGGTACTCTGAAATTCTCGA